GAGGGAGACCGCAAGGTGGGGGGGCCGTCCTCATCACGTGGCTGTCACCTGCCATGGTGGCCCCAGTCACTGGCTGAGGTCGTGCTGCCAGGGTCCTCCACCGCGGACTCACTCTTGTTCTCCCCTTCGACACTGTCCCCTTGATCAGGACGTCCCCCTGCACAGCCCGCACTCCAGAGTGGGCTCAGCCACCACCTCTCAGGGGTGCGGCGTCTACGCAAATATCGGGTGCCCGGACCGACTCCGCATCACTTGCTCGCGTGCGGATCCGTGTCAGGCGGGCAGCGGTCCTCCAGCGCGACCTCATCCTGGCCAGCCTGGGCCCCGGGGAGCTGTCCTGTGTCCTGGCGTGCCCCAGGCCTGCGCTCTCGCCACTCTCGCTGACTCGCTCCCTTTCCCTCTCCGGCATCACCAGAGGCTCCGGCCCCTGGATTCGGCCATGGGCCCCAGAAGCATGAGTCAGAGACTGGGGTCTGGGAGTGCAGGGGGGCTTCTGGTCTCGCTCCGCTGGCAGAGCAGGGCGGCCCTGTGGGCGCACTCCCCCGTGCCGTGTGCGCAGGTCCCTCGCGTGGCCACACGTGGCCACCTGTAGGAAGCGGGCGGGGGTGCGCACGGAGGTCTCCGGCTCCGCCCCCGCCAGCCCGGCACCCCACTCCTCTGACAGGGCCAGGCCCTCGGCCTGCCGGGGAGCAGCTTTGTGGGCCGAGTACTGCCTCTCCCACGCACGCTCCCTCGGCCTTGGCGTCCACAAACCCCGCTCCTCTCCCTCCACCCCTTCAGGGTGGTCCAGCCGAGCTACACACGGGCGACTGGCACCTCCCCGGGCATCTACCCTGGCCTTCTCCAGACCCGCCCGGAGCTACTCAGTTTGCTCACAACCAGGCTCCGTGTCGCCCCCGTCTAGGGCTCCCGTCACTCAGCGACACGCATTTATGACATGCCCGTGTCTCTCTGCCACTCCACCGTTTACCCCCTTGTGCGGCTGAGCTCCAGGTCTGCTCACCCGTCACCTCCTGGGGGCCTTGCGGGGGCTCCGCCTTCAGGGGCGAGGTGCAAGCCTGCTACCCGCGCTCGTGCGCAGGTTTGGGGTGGACGTGCTGCCAAGGCAGTCGCGTGAACACCTAGCAGAGTGACCGCTGGACGGCCTGTGCCCGTCAGAGCCGTGTGTCGTCCCCACCCCGCCCCCCGCGGGGATCTAGAGGCTTCAGCAGCCGGGCTGGGCAGCAGATGGGCCGGGGAGGTGGGCGGGCGTCGGGCCCGCCCTTCTCCTGGGGGCTGCCTGCAGGCTGAGGCCCGGGTTCCACTGAGTCCTGACCCGGAGCTGTCACCTGCCCTCCCGGCCTCAATTTCTGACCTGAGCAGTGGCGAGATGACTCTCTGAGCCTTCACGGGGCACGCTCTCGACCATGTCCACTCAGCCCAGGAGACTGAGGCCTGGGAAGAAGTGTTGTGCCCAACAGATCCCCAGCTGGGGTGGGACCCAGGGCCTCATGTCTCCCCGGATGGCCCAGGCCAGGCCGGGCGGCTACCGGCACCAAACAGGAGGAAGTGGGCCCCGCTCCCTTGGCTGCCCAGAGACTGGAGCAGACCTTTACAAGCTGCACCCCAGCCCTGCTGCATCGGGACACCCTTGAGGGACAGGGCGGCCAAGAAAGGCGCCATCAGACTGGTCCATTCCAACCCCCGCCCCACAGCCCTCTCTGGGCAGGGGCCGGACTGGCCCGGAAGCTCCCAACCGACTTCTGCCCATATAAACACTGGAGCCAACCCCATCTGTCCGTCCGCCTGTCCGTCCGTGGACGCAGGCTTTCCCAGCCCCAGTGTGTGCAGAGTGCCAGCTTCATGGGCTCTGGTCATAGATTGCACAGCCCTGCCAGGTCAGGATAGGGCCTGAGGTTCAGGGTCAGGGACAGCCGTGCCCAGGCCACCCTGCGGAGGCCGGGGCTGTGGGGTGCTATCCCGTGATGAATGAATGAAGTCCTCACCCTCCAGACTTCCCCAGGCAGCTCCAACCTGCCCTTGGGTTTGCACCTTCAAGGGCACAATGATGCCCCACCTTCTGGGCCCACAGCCCTGGCCTCCTCGGGAAGGGGACCCCCTGGCTGCCCTCTAAGGGCTCCAGCCCCCACCCCTGTCCGGGTCCTCGCCCTGTGTTAGAGCTTCTTCGGAGCAAAATAAAACAGGAAGTGGTGGCTCGGGAGCAGTTTTCTGGATCCAGGCCCAGGCGGCACACACAGGGGCTTTGCCACCCACCCCCCCCCCCCCCCCGATACCTCCACAAGACGGGCAGACGCCAGCCCCACCCCAGGCCTCCTAAGCTAATGGGCTGGGGGATGGCTCCAGGCTCCCAGTGACTCTAAGGCACAGAGAACTAGGACAGGGAGGGACCAACGGAGCAGGGTGGGCTGTGCCCCAGCGCCTCCAGCAGAGGGCAGCGCTGCTCCACGCCTCGCCGCCCCGGCGCTCGGGGACCCTCCACACGGGGGAGCCGGGCTGAGCTGGTCCCCACTGGGGACTCCCCAGGGGCTCTGCGTGCGGCGGGGAGGCTGACCTGGGCCCTCCGGGTTCTGCGGCTGGAAACGCTCGCTGGAATGGCCGACACTCTGACACTCGGAGAACACAAGGCCACCAGCAGCCCCCGAGTTTAGGGGCTGGGGACTGAGCTCTTTACATGGCCCCGTTCCCTGACACCCCCCGCTCCAGCCCTTCTCCCCACGACTCCCCGACCCCCTCCAGGGGTTCCTGTCACTCGGGGTGTTGCTGCCCTCAAGCCCAGCAGTGGCACTAGCTCTGCAGTCCTGTGTGTCCGAGGCAGGGTGCCAGGGCCTCTCCCCAGGAGCCCCCCGCCCCCCGTCTCCCGAGCGCGCCCATGCTCCCAGCACACTGCCCGCTTGCTTGCTGACGGCGGGACCTCCCTGTCGCTGGGCTCCCGGCAGCCGGGACAGGACCTGCTGCGTAGTTGGTGCTCGGCACGGTCCCGTCCCAAATCCCCCTGCTCCCACCCTCGCCTCTGGGGTTACAAACCCCAGCCCTGCTGGGCGGGCCTGTCACCACCTGATCGTGCTGGCGACAAAGCTCTCGAGCCCAGCATCTCTGGTCCAGGGGCACCACCCTGGGCAGGGGTCGCCATAGCAACTGGAGGCAGCAGGGAGGCCCAAGGCCAGATTACCATGCAGTGTTGTGTGCGCCCATGTGCCACCTGGGTCCCCTTCCTGGGGGGTCACCAGGGGCTCCACTCACGGCAGGAAGTTGGGGTTGGAGTCCCGCCCAGCTGGACGCCCTTGCCTCTTGCACACGGGCCCCTCTGCCCCCCTCGCCGAGGTTAGCACACCGCCCCAGCTGTGCTCCCTGGGGCCTGCATCCTGGAGCACGTTTGGAGGACCCTGGGTTTGGGCAGGCGTGGCCCCCATGGAGGTCATCTCAGTCACTGGCCTGTTCCAGTCAGGGCCGCCCCTGACTGACTGAGACCGACAGGGTCAAGAGGCTCAGCACCGCCCAGGGCCCCCCACATGGCTCATTAGGAAAACGGGGATCAGCCCTCCCAGGCCCAAGGGCAGGGCCACATCCTGAAAACCTGTGAGGAACACTCCTTTCCTGGTCTCCCCTCCTGGCTTGGCAGCTGTCCGAGCCTGCTCTCTGAAGGGGACGCGGACACCTTGCGCCCTCCCAGCCCCCCGGGACCGCCTGGCACGTCCTGAAGGCCCCGCCCAGAGCTGGGGCTGGTGCCTGCGCAGGGAAGCGGGCCACCGGGCAACTGGCGGCCCCACACAGCGCGCTCAGCGGTGGCTTTGGTCATGTGGAAGGCAGGACAAGGAGCCCTCCACAGGGAGGCCACCCTCCCAATTCCCCAGGCCCCCCACGCCTGATCCTCTTTGCAGACCCGGGAAGGAGCCCCCGCGGCTGGTAGTGCGTGCTTCCGACCGGGAAGCAGAGCAGGCCAGTCGTAGCCAGGCCCAGCGGCAGGTGGGGGGCTTGCTGGGGGGAGAGGTGGGGCTCCCTGTGCCCACCCCCTTCCAGGGAGTCCAGGCTGAGCTCCCACGGGCAAGGACAAGGCCTTGACCCGGGCGGGGGGCGCACAGCCCACAAGCACCAGCAGCAGCAGGCTGGTCCGGCCACGGCCGGGGCCCCCGGAGCCACGCAAGGCCTCAGGCCCGCCAAGGGGGAGGCCGTGGGGGGGCGCCGACTCCCCCGGGGGAGGCCGCCTCTGTCCTGCCTCTCACTTCCCGAGGCCCCAGGAGGTCCTTGCGCGCCGGAGTGCAGAGCGGGACCTGTGCACGTGTGCTGTGTGCAGTGTGAACACGGAGTGAGGGCCGTGTGCGCACGTGTGTTGCGTGGACGTGGACGTTGTGGGCAATCGCCACCTATGAGCAGGCCTGTCGTGCGCTGTGCATAAGTGCTGTGTGCGTGCGGCCTGTGCGTGCACATGCGTGGCCACACGTCGTGGGAGCACATTCTGGGGAGGAGAGCGCGAGGGGAGCCACGGGCCTACGACCGTGGGGTTCAGCCACTCTGCTGGGAGCGGCCCTGGGGCCACAGGGCAGGACCGCAGCTCCAGGGCGCCCGCCGGACCAAGAGCACCAGAGGATAGACACCATCGCCCAACTGCGGCCGTGCCTGGCCCAGCCCCCGGAGGGCGTGGCGACGAAGAGCGTCCATCACACGGGACGGAGCAGATGCGGTGTCATTATCTCGTTAGCAACGGGGCAGCCGGATGACATCACTCACTCTGTGGCCCAGTGTGTGAGCCGCTCGCCCACTCGGGCTCGGGCAGCCTGGGGCAGGGCGGGTGGCCGGTGCCCTAGGACGCGGAGGGTCCTGCACGGGCCGCGGAGCAGAGCAGGCCAGGGAAGGAGCACGGCCGCGCGGGGGGCGGGGGGCGATGACCCGAGTCTGGGGCCTCACTGCCCTGGACCGGCCCCCGCCGGTCGGGCAGCAGCCCGGACGCCCGCCAGCCCCAGACAGGAAAGCCCCCGGCAGAACAAACGAGAACAGCGTGGTGATCTATTTTTAAACGCTCGTATTTTGTTTCTCCTCTCACGTTTTTCTGTGTTTTCCTTTCCACGTTCTAACACCGCTGTTGGTCCGTGGCCTGCACCCACGGCGGTGTTCAGAGAACACGCAGGGAAGTGAGTTCACAGTCAAACAGGGTCTCGGGAAGGCCGGCTGGCAATGGGGGCAGAACAGAGCAAGGCTTCAAGAGTCACTCAGAAGGGGAAGAAACCCCTGACCGTCTGGGCCCCACCCCTGCCCGAAGGGAAACGTCCACGCAGCGGTTCGTACAAAGCCCATGCGCTCGTCCGCGTCCGAACGCTCCACTGAGAAAGCTCTCCTCCATCTCTAGAAGCAGAAACAAAACAAGTCCCACCCCCCCATCATCCAAGTATACATGAGGGATAAAATTACATTTGTACAAAAATAGATTTTTTTTTTTTTTACCTTTCCCGATGCTTTAGACATTTTCTCTCTACTCTCTGTATGTACTTGTCACCCTCTGAAGTGTCCGCGGCGCGTCCCGGCTAAGGCATTGCTGAGGATGGGGCCCGATAAGGCTGCTTGCTCCAAAGCATCTTAAAATAGATGCGCTCCTTGCCTTGGGATACTCACTCGAACCCGGATTTCACCAAAGGAGGGGTCCTTATGTACTTGCTTACGTGAAGCAAATTTATAGGAAAACGGGGGGAAAGTCTTGATTAAAAATAAAGACAGAACGTTGGTAACTGCCCCGCGGCTGCTGTCGGCGGCCTCGGCCCCCCGCGGTCTCTGTACAGCAGACGTGTCACATAGCACACCTGCGTGGACGGGGAGCGGGCCACGCGCCCCAATTCCGTGATGGGGACAACATCAGCTGATTACCCACTGGCCGTGCGTCCGCCCGGGCCCTGCTGGCGGCCCCCGCAGGTGAGGGGCCTCCGGCATGGTGTCCGCGCTTGTCACCGGCCCGAGTCCTCTAGAAGCCAGGGGCGCGGGGCCGTCTCTGCCTGGAGACCGCGTGCTTCCAGGTGCCGAGTGCAGGCCCGCTTCCAACGAGAGGCCCCCTGCAGACGCGGGCGTGGTCATCTTCGCTCCCCTGCGGCGGGAGCCCCGTCCCCGGTGTCCCCGCGGGGAAGTGAGTCCACGGCGCCGGAGGCACCCCGGGCTGGGCCGAGGCGGGGATGGGCAGAGGTGGCTAATGAGCTGATGTTAGTGCTATCTTTAGAAAATTAAAGATTGTCCCACCAAAATAATAATAATAATAAAAATAATTACAAAAATCACCGTAATTGAACCAGATTAATAACACTACTAACGGTCTGGTTAAATAAAACTCCTACCTCTCTACTGAGCCATGTGCATCTCCCCACTTAACCCCCTCCCCCAACAGCACTGAATGCATGACAAGGACAGCAGATGGATGAAGAGAGGACGGCCCCGCGTGCCCTCGGTGCTGGGCTGCGGGCTGGAGGGGCTGGGGGCTTCTGGCTTTCTATGCTGTAGCCTGGGGGCCTCGGCTTTCCGGCGAGCAGCCGGCGGGGGACGTTCTTAGGAAGAAGCTGACGCTCCAACAGACGCAGTCCTGGGCTTTCTCCGCTCGAGGCCCCCACATTCCCAAGGACCCCCAGGGAAGTGGGAGAGGGCAGGGCGTGGATGACGGGGTGCGTCTGGCTGCAGAAGGCACCGGGGGTGTCGGGTGTGGGGCAGTCTACCGTTCCCACAGCTGGGGGGACCCCGAGAGGGAGCCCCCAAGGGTGCCACATCACTGCCACAACGGAGCCTCCAAAGGCTGCCGAGTCTGGGAGCTGGGCGGGCCCTACACGCCCCGCCCCTACCGCCCACGTGGCAGGGGACACCTCCCCACGTCACAAGCGGGCGGGTGACAGAGGAAGGCGGCTTTTCTGCGGTCTTCTGGAGCCTCTGCCTGGTGCCTCGCCTTCAGCTTGGCTGGGGACCCTGGAAGGCAAAGCAGGGACACCTCCTTCCCCACGGGGCCTGGAGACCCCTCCCTGCCTTGCCCCAGCTGGGGAACCAGACTCTGGGGAAGGCATCCCCCTCCACCCCGGGCTGCTCATGGGGGCCACAGGAGGGAAGCCAGGCTACAGAGCAACCCCTCAGGAGCTGCCTGCATCACCCCCACCAGTGATGAACGCTGGGTTCCTGGAGTAGGAGGCGTAGGACTGGAAAGTACTCAGACCAAAGGGAGGGCATTACAGTGCAAAAGAAGCGGATTCAACCTGAGAGAGCCCCTGCACGCCCAGAGCCCAGAGCGCCCCAGCCCAGGAGGCTGCGCCCCTGCCCAGCTCGGTGGAGACGCTACAGAAGCAGGCACGGCCTGGCCTGGGGAGCCGTCAGCCAGGGCACGTGTTTGAAGGGGCCCCACATCCGGCTGTCCCCGAGGGGCAACCAGCTGCAGGCCCAAGGACGCTGGCACGCCACAGTCCCCGATTCCAAGAGGCTCCCACACAGGACAGGCCGCCAGCAGAGAGGGCCTCTCTGCCAATAGCTCTAGGAAGCAACGCCACCTGCCCCTTCCCGCTGGGCTTACGTGCCCCCAAGTCCCTCCCCTCTGCACACCCGCCGTGGGTCCCCGGCTCCCTCCAAGTGTGCACAGCTGCTGAACACCCCCTGGGGAACGCACCCTCCTTCCTCCCATCCCTGTGGGTCTCCCAGGCCCAACCTCTGCCCATGACAGATCAGCACGGCCCAGGACTTCAGGGAAGGCCAGGAAGCGGGCTACCCTGCAGAGACCGGGGGCGGGGCGCTGCCCCTCCGCACAGATAGCAGACAGAACCGAGGGCGGGCCGTACACGGGGTCTGCCTACCCCGGCTTGTGTGAGGCTGTGCGGGGGGAGAAGTGGAAGCCAGGGTGACGCGAAGAGAAAAGCAAGGTGGGGAGGTGGGTGACCCCAGTCCCTGCAGCCTTGAGGGGGGCCCAGAACCCTGCACGGAGGTCGGCTCATGTCCTGCTTGGCTCGGGGGCGACACTGCAAGTCATCTTTGGAAAAGGGGCTTCTCGCCCTTCACTGTGAGGGAAGGGAAGCCTACTCGCCCCAGAGCCCCCCTCGTCCTCCCGGGGGGCAGGGCGGGTCTTCTGCACTCTGCTCCTGAGCCTGGGTAGGGCGCCTGACAAGAGGCGACGGGGGTCACTCCAAACACAGGAGGGGAGCACAGGATGTTCCCAACGCCGAGGGTGGCTCGGGGGCAGGGCCTGCAACCCGGAGAGCCGCCCCCACTGCCCAGGGAAGCGTGCGGGCCTGGCCGGGCTCACAGCAGTTCCGGCCCCAGGAAAGCCACGGCCCGGCTTTGCGGGCGAGGAGCACTGAAAACAGTGAGGTGGCCACGCTCGGAGACTTAGCAGGCTGCGCCCCCACATCCGCAGAGGCCAGGCAGAGAAGGGGCGGGGACGGGGCTCAGCTGAGAAGAGCGGCCAGGCGGGGCGGCCGGGCCGGCGGGCCTAAGTCATTTGGTGGGGGGCTTCTAGCATTTCCATGAGGAAGGTGTCGATGGGCGTGTCCCCGATGAGCTTGAAGAAGAAGAGATGTTCCAGGCACTTGAGGCCGATGGAGCGCAGAGCCGGCAGGCGGAGCAGCAGCTTGGCGAACCTGTGGGAGGGCCGGGTGAGGGCAAGCTGGGCCGTCCTCCCACCCTCCACCCAGCGCCTGGCGACCTCCTGGGGACAGAGCTGGTCCCGAAGCCACAGCAGCAGGGCCCGGCCTGCGCGGAGCCTGGGGGGGGCCAGCCCCTCAGGCAGCAGAGAGAGCAGGCCAGGGCCTGGGAGCAGGAGTGTGCTGGGTGGACACGAAGACCCCGAAGAAGGCCTATGGAGTAGAGACCTGGGGTGAAGAACCAGAGGCAAGACGGTGGCTGAGCTGGTGCAGGCTCAGTAGGGCTTCATGGGAAAGTTAAAATACGTGGGTCTTCTCCAAGGGCAACAGGGAGCCACGGCAGGATTTTAAGCAGGGGAGAGAGCTACAAAAACGGATCTGAGTATCAGCAATGCCTCTGGCTGCAGTGGGGAGACCAAGGTGGAGTGGCTCCTGGGCCAGGGGAGCAGGTCTGTGCTCAAGCAAGCCTCCGCTCATAAAGCATCGGCATCCCGTGTGTCCCAGGCCAGCGCCCACCCCTTCCCCAGAAATGGCTCTGCTGGAGCTGAGCCAGAGGCCCGATCCCAGGCCCTGCCCGGCCCGGTCGGGGGGGGGGGGGAGGGAGGGGGGCGGAGAGACCGAATTGGGGAGGGCAGCGGGAGGTGCTGGGGCTCTGGGAGGAGGGACGCCAGGCTCAGCTTCTCGGCTGCCAAGGACAGTGCCCTGTCCCCTCCAGGGATGTCCACAACCGTCCCCCACAACGGCATGGACCCTCATTAATTATTCACAACGTCTGTATTTCAGGGGAGAAAGCCCTGTGGTTGGCGGCCACACAACCCACGTTTTAAAGGCAAAAACGCAGTGTAGAGGCTGGACCGGGGCCAGGGAAAGCTGTTTTCTGCTGAGCTGGCGAGATGGGCTGTGGCGGGGAGCCAGGAAAAACAAGCAGGCCGGCCCTCCGTCCTCCCCGGCAAGTCTCCCTTTAAACCAAACCAGATGGGGGCTGCGAGGGGCCGGGCACAGTCACCCGTGTGTACGGCTGAGTGGGCGCCAGGCCGGGGCGGGGGGGGGGGAGCGCGGGGGCGGGGCAGAGGGAGGCCTGGCGCCCAAGGGTGGGGGGCACGCGCCCTCCGAGGGACACCTTATTGGAGGGAGGGGCACGAATCAGGACAAGACTTGCGAGAGCACCAAGCCATAAACAGTTCACCGTCCCCGCAACCGTGCGCCCGGCACTGCAGGCCCGGGAATGAGACCCCAGCCCTTCCGGCGCCCACACAGCCCTGCACACGTGTACAAAGCACCCACTGTGTGCCAGTGTCCATCCCGGCTGGGGGTAAGCACGCCAAGGCCCTGCCTCCAGGGATTCCCTTGAGGGGCAGAAGTGCCCCGGCTTCAACCTCGTGCTCTGCAAGGACAGGCCCTTGCTGCACGCGGACCGGTGTTCTGGGTGGGCGGCAGGAGCGCGAGAGCATGCACTCACTCGGGGGCGCGGGGGCACACCGCCTTCTAATTCACACAAGGTGCCAGAAGGGCTGGGGGCTGTCTTGCTGGGGCAGGGGGTCATGAGACCCTGAGGCCCCCCAAAAGCAGGGGCCGGGCGGGGGGCTCACCTTCCCGGCTGCTCGGGGTACTTGTGTTTGCAGTAGGCCTCCAGGGACGCGTAGACCTTCTCCCGCAGCGCCTCCACCTCCGCTGGGTTCGAGAGCCCCTTGGAGTCTGCAGGGGGAGGGGCCGCAGGTCAGAGGCCTCGGCCCAGAAGGCTGCGCGGGGCACCGGGGCACTCAGGCCCGCTCCCTCACGTCCCTGCTCGGCTGGGGCCAGCAGCGGCGGGGCAGGCTCTGCCCCTGAGGAGGCCGCCCCGGGCTTGAGTCCCGGCTTGCCACTCGCTGGCCACATGTGGCCCATCCCTGGACTTCCCTGCACTCAGCTTGCCCATCGGGGGTCAAGTGCAACCAGCTGCCCTCACCTTCTCCTGGTTACCACGGCAACCAGGCTGAAGCCGGACCCTGGCTGCCTTCAGGACTCAGTTCCTTTGAGAGGGAGGAAAGCTCAGAACTGTCACCCCCAACAGCCAGCCCCACACAGGGCAGTGGGGGGAGAGGCCGACAGCCAGCCTGAGCCCTGGGACCCTGGAGGCAGGAGCCCAGTCTGGAAGGCGCTCTGCCCGTGGACAGAGATGCCTGGGACCTCAGCCACCAAAGCCTCCAGGGCCCAGGGGTGGGATCTAAGGAGGATGGGACAGACGTTCCAGGGCTTAAGCGGGTGAGCCGTCACGGGCCTTCCTGACCCAGTCAGAGCCCACCCATACCAGGCACTCCTCTCAGCTTCCCTGTCTCCTGGGGTTTCCCACGACCCGACAAGCCAATGGAGATGAACCCCTCTCTCTCCATAGCGGCCACCACGTGGTGTCATGCTAGGGCTCACAGGCCCTGGGTCTGGCCCCAGCCAAGTGTGGCCCATCCTGATGGCAGAGGGGACAGAGGCTGGAGACCACAACTGCCCGCCTGGAGCCATCTGAAGCCGCTGGCCCCAAGTGGCTCCGCGGTGGGACAGACCTGCTGTCAGGTCGCCTGAGCCACAGACTGGGGGGCTCATGCCAGCACGGCCCCTGGCAGCCTGACACCCCAGCAGGCGCACCGGGGTCCAGCGTGAAAGCCGCAGGTAGTCTGGGGCCCTGGGCACCTTGGGAATGTGCCAGGCTTCTCCGTAGCTCAGCACCCCAAGGCCCTGGGGGGGGCCCTCAGCGCCAGCCATGTCCTTCCAACAGCCTTACACCCTGGGGGACAGGGAAGCCGTGCCAGCAGCCAAGCCACACACAACTGGATGGAACGGGGACTCCACCCGGCAGGGCTAAGATGCGCGGCCCCGCCTCCCATGCTGGCAGGACCACAGGCTCGGAGCATAAACCCGGGGACAAAATACCCCCGGAAACGGGCTCTCCCCACGAGAAGACACTCCTCTCCCACAGCCAGACCCCTCCGTGCTGGAGCTCATGGAAGGCAGGAGGTCAGGGCCCACCACCCCTGGCGCCATCCCGGCTTCCCCGCTGGCTGGCCAGCGCCCCCAGCTCTCCCCAGAAGCCCGCAGCAGCCCCGAGGGACACCGCCCCTCCACGCCCCCACCCACCGTCCGGGCTCCCGGACTTGGCCACGAGAAGCTCATGAAGAGGCTGCCTCCTCTGGAGCCCAGGATTCCGGGCAAAGTGGGGCCACACTTTGGATGCAGCGCCCAAACCACGAAGGGTGAGCACAGCTCCCCGAGCCACGCCGCATGGAGCGTTCACAGGAGCCACGAGAAGGTGGCATGGCCAGTCCACCCTCGCGAGGAGACGGGCGACCGGCCCCACAGCACAGCACCAGCGAGCGCTCGGGGCCCGAGGCCGGACAGCAGGCCGCGCACCAGGGAGGAGGCCGTACCGGGGTTGAAGAGGACAATGGCACGCAGGCAGCCCAGCTCCGTCTTGTCCATCTGCATGTCCCGCATCTTGGACACGAGCTCCGTCAACACCCTGCAGAGGAAGCAGGCCAACACCGCCGCCCCGGTCAGACTGTGCCCCCGCCTGGACCACCCCTGCCCCAAGAAAGACCCCATGGACTGGCTCGGGATGCTGGGCGTGGACCTGGAGAGCCGATGGAAGGGCGAGGCCACACGGGGATGCTGCCGGCTCCCACGCCCGGCCTGTCCCCTCCCACCCGGAGAGGCGCTTGCTCTCCTGCCCTCAGGACGGTCTGCATGTGGGATCTACCAGGAAGGGGCCCCGCGACCACTGCACGGAGGGGAGCCAGGGACCCAGACACGTAGGGCTAGTCCACTGCCGCGGCTCCCCACAGCCTGAGGCCGCTCCCTGGGGTCCACAGGAAAGCTGTTCTCCCCAGGATGTGGCCCTCCTTTATCCTCCCTAGCTGCCAGTGGGGGTTCTGCTTCTTGTCACCAGGCATTCACGGCCAAAGGCAGAGAGCAGAACTCTGAGCCACCCTCGGCTGGCCCAGCCCCTACAGGCAGTGGTGTCCTGCCTCCGTGGCCTGAGCTCCCCGACCTCCTCCACCTACTCACTGGCCCCCAAAACTCGACGGCCGTGCCCAGGGAGTGCTAAGTGCTCAGTGAGGCTGGACCACAGGGGAACAAAGGATGGTGGCCTGGGGAGGGCCTGGATGGTCACCCCGAGGAGTCGGGGAGTCCCCGAGGGTCTGCAGGCTGCAGAGGAACAGATCCCCAGGAGCCTGGAGGACAGACGGGGAGGGGACGGGCGCTCCAGAGGGTGCCCCGAAGCCGGGGTCCCCCGCTCTATTCACTCGGGAGGGCAAAGGGGAGCTGGTTCTCTCTGATGTTGCTCGCTGGGGTCTAACCCCGCACCTCCGTCACCATCACCTCTCTAGCAGCTGGACGCAGAACCGGCAGCTCGGAGTGTGGCAGGGGCTGCATTTCTAAACCAAAGCAGACCTCAGGAGGCTGTACTCTCTAAAACGGCTTCTGTGGACAATAAAACGCTGCACTCGCTAACCGCCTTTGGTGGCACCCCATACATTAGCTTGTTCAAGGCCCTGAAAAGTCCTGCAGCGAAGACACATCTATCCACTGTTCAGACCAGCACTTGCCAGGAGACGTGGCCACAACCCCCGTCTGCGCTCGGCACGTCCCAGGAAGCTCACGGCCTACTTCTCGGTTCTACCAACGGCCCCGCGGGGCAGCACGCTTCCTGAGTTTACGTTCCCGGGGTGACGGCGGGGGCTCTGCTCGCCTCTCACTGCGGAGCTCCCCCACTCGGGGGCTCCCTGGGAGCTGGCCACCACCTCCCCTCCCCTTGGCTGAGGCGCACGCCACCCAGGGCCCCGGAGCCGGAGCAAGGCGGACTGCGTGTCTGGAGAGCGACCAGAATGGAGAGGCGGGGCCGCCGCCCAGCCCAGCCCTGCCCGGCCCCTCCACGGGGGTGCCGGGGAGCGCAGGGGTGCGGGGAGGGGCAGGCGTGGCAGCACACACAGGGCTGGGGGCTCGCGGGCTCCCGTGCTGCGGTCATGGCTCGGGACACGGCAGCCGCTGCGTGACGGTAACTACGCTGGAATCGCCTCCTGTCGGAAGGTGTAGGTTCCTTCCCGGGCGGGATGTCAAAGAAAAGAGCCCGAGAAACCAATCCGCACGTTCCGCCCGTTCCCAGCGCACGGGCTTGCAGAGACGCGAACCTCCACCCTCGCACTACTTCCACATGGAACAGAACGCGTGCGGAGCGGGCCGCGGACCCCACCTGTCGAAGATGGCGCCCACCCCTGCGCTGTGGGCGCTGTTCCGGTGGACGTGCAGCCCGGTGGCCAGGAGGATCCCGTCCTTCACGGCGATGGACCGGTGGGAGAAGGAGGCGATGAGCAGCTCATTCCAGCCTGAGGGGAGGAGGGTGCACGGTCACACGGCTCTGTCCCCCCCCCGATGGGGCTGCTGCTGAGCCCCACAGGCCGCGGGCTGTCGCACAACATCCCACAGCGGGCTCTGTGGGCCCCACCCCCATGAGTGTGCCACAGAAATGAGGGTCCCGAGCACCGATGTTCGGGCAAGGCCTCTTTCTTCCATGGTGCAAGCTCGGGCAATAAAGGTCCTGAGAAGTCCCGCACAGAGCATCTTCTTGGGCTCTGTGTCACCCAGCTGCTCCCAAACCCATGTGCCCAGGGAGGTCTCTTCCCACAAAAGCAGGATGCTCGTGCCACGGAGGATGTGGGGGATTCTCTGTGGGGCGGCCAGAGAGCAGCTGCCCACCCGGTCCCAAGCAGCAAACTCTCCAGTTACCACGTGCTGCACGAGGCACCAGGAGACAGTAAATCCTTCAACTGAAATAAGGCGTGTCAGAGCCTCAGGCAAACGACACTCTCTCTACGTAAGCTCCTGGCTCAGACAAACTGGTGTAGGCGTCAGTTAAGAAAAAGCCTGGAAGCAAAACTTGAGATAGAAATGATTTCTGCGCTGGGTTCTCAATGACTCCTGTGGACGGAAGCCCCAAGCCAATTCCACAGAGCCTGCCCTGTCCACAGCCACGCTGCCCACGCCTAGAAGGCTCTGGGCTCCGTGGCACACAACGTCGCACGGGCTAGCCCACTTCGCACTGACTACAATCCTACAGAACAAGGGACAGCCCCGTCTTCCAGAAGGGGAAACTGAAGCCCGGGGCAGGGTAGGGCTTACCCCATCACACAGTGAGTCCGGCCCCCCGGCCCCCGTCGCCTTCCCCTGGTGGCTCTGGGTGTTGGTGTTATGCCCCAGCTGGAGTGAAAGCTCTTCCAGAAGGTGCTCCCGGCCCCCTCCCAGGCCCACAACGCCGGGGATGAGAGTTCTGTTGGGGGCAGAGCCGGCCCCAAGTGCATCTGTTCCCCCCATGGTCCCCCCCAGGGCAGGATCACTCTGCAGTCACTCTGCCTCTCTCTGTCATTGCCCCCCACCCTACGGCCTGCCCAGCCTCCCCCTACCTCTGGGCTGGCTGCCACCTCTCCCGCTGCCCCAAGCACACCCAGAGCCTGGCAGGCACGGGGCCAGGCTGCCCTCTGACGTTCCCGCAGCGCCCAGCACGTGCAGATGGCCCGGCAGGACAGGGGGTGCTCCCTACCGGCCCCCCCGAAAGGCCCAGCCCCAGCAGAGCTGGTGCACCCGTCCCTCTGGCAGGAACCTGCACCAAAGACCCTAGTCTCCGCGGAAACTCGGTCTCCACTTGGCATGCCGGGCACACGTTGGGAACCGGGCCTGACCCGAACCCCAAAGCCTGTGCTCCCACCCCACTTGCCAGCACTGCAACCCCACGCAGAGGAGAAGCGGAGGCCTCAGTGCGGCGAGAGGGCAGAGCCCAAACCCTCCAGGGCAGCCCGTATTGGGCACACCACCCCTGCCCTCCCCAGAGGTCCCCAGACAGCCCTCGACCCCTCCGAAGGCCACTTAGAGACCCGAAACCAATGACCTCCTTATGGGTGGGGGCAGCAAGGCCAGAGGGGGGCAGGGCCCAGGTGGGAGCCCCACACCGCGGAAGAAAGGGGTGTCCCAGGGTCCCACCCTTCCATGGGTGTCCGGGGACCCTGCCCTCTCCCTCCTGTATCTTCCCCGGCCCGGGCCAGCCAAGCCACTTACCTGCTCTCAGCAGGATGACCTGGTCGTCCAGCGGTAGCTCAGAGAAGTGCGGGATCCGCTTGGCCCACTCGACCAGCGTGAAGAGCTGTTTGTCTGCTGCCTGGCAGATGTTGGTGACGGGGTCGTTGGGCTGGGCAGGGGGAGAGGCACGCAGTGAGCGCCCGGCTGGGAACATGGCCCAGACCGGACCCCCCACCCCACGTGCTGTACCTGCCCTGGGCTGAAGAAGGGCCCCAGGGACCGTGTCCTAATCCCCTGAGCCTGCGGGTGGTGAGCCTGTGGCTGGTGCCACTCCATGCTTCCCTTTGCAGGCATGATCGAGGAAGGGGTTTTGAGGTGGGAGGGCCTCCGGATGACGGGTGGGCCCAGTGTCAGCACAGGGTCCCCGTAGAGGGAGGCAGGGGTCAGAGACGGGAACCCGTGAGCAGGAGAGAAGCCGCTGGCTTGATGCTGGAGGAGGGCCTGGGCCGAGGATGCGGAGCCTCCAGCACCGGGAAAGGCAAGGGGACGTCCTCCCCAGAAGGAACCAGCCCTGGGGACACCGCGACTCTCGTCCTGTGCCGCTGACAGTGGACTTCGGACCTCCAGGACCGTAAGAGACTAAAATTGGTGCTGTTGGAAGCCCTCAGTGTGGGGGCCGAGTGACCCCAGGGCACAGTCGCGGAAACCTAGGTGCAGCCGTGAGTGCCGAGCTGGGGTGGGACTCTGAGGGGAGTAGACAGTGCCAGCCCCTCCGGGCCACTTCTTCCTACTGGGTGTGGAGACTGCACACAGATGGGGGCATCAGAGGCCTTTCCAGAAAGTTCTGGCCAGAAGGGAACTCTCCCCTCATTGTCACAGATGAGGAAACCAGGCAGGCCTCAGTGGGGCCCCTCCCTGGCTCCTGGCTGGTGGACCCTCTGGGCCCTGAGCGAGGGGGAGGACAACAACCACACACGACGGCCGGGGGGTCCTCTGAAGAGCTCCCACCAACAGAAACCATCTGCCCTAAAGAGAGGTGCGGTCTGAACTCCCGGGGCCCGCGGGAAGGGCCCACCGAGGGCGCGCGTGGGACGCCTGGTGACAAACTGGCAGAGGCCACCGGGTCAGAAGGGGCTGGCGTGTGCCGATGGGGACATGGAGCTGCAGGGACAGGCATCAGCCACGGCTTCTGGGGCACACGGGATCCCCAGCCCAGGGTGCCAGCACCCAGAAGCCCCCCACACTGGCCCTCACCCCAAGTCCCTCCTCTGTCCCCTCAGCAGATTCTGTGCAATGGGGCCACGTGCCCCAGCCCAGCACCCCCAGGGGCACTCCTCACCCTGTGATTCACGCGGGCACAGAGGCTGGCCTGCGCGGGGTCCCCAGCTCACGCGGCGACACGCCCAACAGCTAGCACACCAGAGGCCAGGGTCAGGTTCTAGCAGGCGCCACCCTGGCCAGGCTCTGCTCTTACGAGGCTCGGGGCGGCCCCGTGAGGGGAGAGCCCAGGCCCAGGCAGGTGGAGAGGGGCCCAGGGAAGCCACGCCGGGGGGAGGCGGGGGGATGCGGGGGACACCTGGGAGGAGCCTAGAGCTCTGCCACAGGCTGAAGCCCAGGGAACCAGCCTCCCTGGCCACTGGCTGTTGGCCCCCAGGAGCCCTCGAGGGGCCCAGAGCTGTCCCCAAGCCACTCCCGGGCAGGCTAGTGCCCTGACAGACGATGGCGGGACCCCCCAGCAGAGGCCCGAGGCTCCCCCAGGGCTCGAGAGCCGGCAGGTACCCTCCCGATGCGCTGCACTGCTAACAAGATGTCCCCGAAGGGGAACCCAGGCCAACCCAGAGGAAGCCGCGGCAAGGTCAGACGCAGGAAGGCAGGCACGTGCTGCCCCCGAGATGACAGGTACTCCCGCCCAGCCAGCCCCTCTGTGCGGCCCAAACCACGGGACGCCACGGCTTTTCCTAATAACGTCCTTACGTGACAAAACAAAAAGCTGACAGCCCTTTGTCCCTCGCCCAATGTTTTCTGGAGTTTCTGTTCAGTCGTGCAAGCCTCGGAGCTGGCCACCCCTCCCCTCACTGGGACGGGGAGGGGTCGAGCCCTGTGTGCACCTTCTCCCTGACGGGGCCCAGGGCAGAGTTCTGAGCAGGGCGCTGGTGTGCAGGAAGTGCAGGGAAGCAGGGACGGCCCACCACCCGGCCACAGTGGCCTCTCAGAGCACGTGGACCCTCCCGGCCTGGGATGAGGGTTGCGTGAGAGCACCCACGGGACGAGCGGGCAGGGCACCGGCCGGAGCTGGGCCGTGAACAGCTGCTCATACGCCACCCCCAGCCACATGGCGGGGAGGGACAGTTACCACACCACACACCCCACTACTCACTGCCGTGCGCTAGGGGACGGAAAGGAACCTCTGTGCCATGTCACAGGGCCAGGCCTATCTTCGCAGGGCCATGAAGGCAGGCCAGGGGGAAAGGGGCCCCCGGGAAAAGCGACACCTCAGGCCAGACAGAGCCTGAGGAGGAACAGAGGGAGCCACACGTGCAAAGGCCCTGGAGTTGCAGGAGCACAAGCGGGGTATGTCCAGCACGGCAGGGGCCACTCTGGGCCAGGCGGAGGACAGAGGAAGAGAGGCCGGTGTGACTTTAGGGCCGGCCACAGGGCTCTGATCCCAGCCCCGACCCCACATGAAGGCACAGTGAAACCTCCCCACGTCCTGCACACCTGGGGCAGGTGCAGGACGCCCAAAACCCAGCTGAGCAGTGGCCCCAGGCCACACGGAGCAGGAGAGTAGGTGCTGGCCCTCAGCATGGCCCGTGACAGCTGGAGCCTCCCATCCAGCAACACCCACCAGGGGCCAACAGTCCCCGAGCAATGCTGGCCCTTGCCGCCCCGGGGGAGGCCGTGTGGGCAGGGGAGGCGCTCACCGAGTTGGGGTTCAGCCCCATGTTCGCGTCCACATATGTCTCGGTCTTGGGCTCGACAGCCAGCTCTGCCTCCAGAATCTTCTCCACTGGCATGTCCTCATTGGCGCTGCTCGTGGACTCCACCTCGTTCTCGTTCCTGTCCTTGCCCCGCTGCCGTTCCTCCTGTACGGCTGTAGGGGGGAGGGGGACGGTCAGCCTGCAGCTCCCTCGGCAGTCCCCCTGCCATCGGGGTCCGAGCAGCCCAGCCCCGCCGAGCCAGTGTGCCCGCCAGGGCCGCCGAGGGAGGCGCTGCTCAGAGCTGGCCGAACCCCCGCCCCGTCCCTGCCCCAGGTCTGGCCTCCAGCAGCCACGCACACCCAGAACACAGAGCACATCCACCCCTCGTTAACTCACACCCAACTAATGCCCACACCAGCACCCGCCCGGGGCCCGGTGTCCATCGGCCAGAGCACACAAGGCCCGGGTCTCACGCAGCTGACCGACAGCCCAGCAGAGGTCCCGAGGTGCAGTAAGGGCTTCAGTGGACTACGGAGTCAGACAAAGCCAGGAAGGCTTCCCAGAGGCGGCACGAGAAGACAAGGGGGATCGCTCAGGCAGAGAAGGCAGCGTACGCAGAGCCAGAGCAGGGCCGCTCCTGCCGGCTGGGGAGCCACCGCAAAGGGCACCAGCCGGGGCGAGGGCCGAGTTCCCGGACAGGGTCTGGCGTGCCACAGCAGAGAGACAGGATGGCACACACGTCTCCCGCCGCAGAAAGACGAGGGGGGCCCGGGGAGACCAGAAGCTGGAGCCAATCCCGAGCGTGAGCCAGGATGGCCTGGGCTGGCCCAGGGGGGGTGGGGGCAGCACTGGGGCTAGAGGGCTGAGCACAGGGGTGGTCAGAAGCCGATGGAAGGAGGCAGAGGGAGGCATTCACTGCCGCACGGAGACCCACGTGGACAGAAGGGAGGAGGCCAGGGCACCCCTGCGGCTGCGTGTTTGCAGAGCTCAGACTGCAGAGCCCATGCAGCTCAAGCTGCCTCTCCCAAGAGGGACCAGGCTGTGCACCCCACCCAGAGCCCCACGAGCACCTGACATGGCTCCTGAGGCTGCTGCAGCCTCCCAGGCTGACCCCCACCTCCAGCCCCTCTGCTCTGCTAGGAGCACCGAGGGCCCTGGACCGGGGAAAATGAGTCAGCAGCGGGGAGAAGTCACAGCCTGCGGCATGCTGAGGGGCTGGGAAGGGCTGTCTACGCGGCCCTGATACAGCCTGAGCCCACTAGGTATGCCGGGTGCACCTAGAGGCCATCACAGCTGCACCAGGGGGGGGCCTCCGCCGAGCCCACCCAAGCCCACCTTCTGTGGTCCTGCCCTCCTGAGCCAGACATGTTCAGACATCCCCCTCCACCAGAGCCCTGGGGTGGCCATGGCCTCCGCAAGGCCGGCTCCTCAGTCCCTACCCCAGTCAAGGCCCTCAGATTCTTGGGGCCCCTGGAGATCCGACCACGGAGTGGGAGCTTGGTGAGGTGACTTCAGAGTGTAGCCTTGAGACCTCTGTCCACATGGCCATCCAAACCGAGAGGAAGGGCCTGGAAATGGCCCCGTGCTGCAGAGCCCAGGGGCCAGAGACCCCTGGGGAGTACCCGGGCACTGACGGGGCTGGGCCCACACCGGGTCCAGAAGGCTCCTCGTAAGAGGTGGAAGATTATCCACATGGCAGGCCTGGGTCCCTCATAACATGCCGAGTGGCACAGGCCGCTCACTCCCTTACCAGGAACCCCAGGGCTTTGAGAGCTGGGCAGGTTCTGGCAGCAGCTGGTCCTCAGGAGACAGCCCCAGGCAGCCCCCTACCCCAAAGACCCAGCAGGCCATTCTGCTGAGCCAAGCACCCCACAGACCTCATGGGCCCCGCAGAACCTTTACCTGGACAGACGCCCAGACCACCCGGACCCTCACCACCCCACTCCCTGGTTGCACCCTGAGCTGCGCCTTGGAGAGGGCCTGGAACACAGCCCGCTGCTGGGGGACCCAAGAGCAGAGCAAGAAGATCACGTACAGTGACGTCTGTGGGAAGCAGAACCTGCCCAGGGCACGCTCCCGCACAGGAGCCAGCTCAGGTCAGCTGACTCCGAGAGCTGCAGGACCTCTGGCCCACGGCCCAGCTTCTGGCCGGCCTGGAGGTGCGGGCTCAGCCAAGGGGCCTGGAGGCCCTCCCAAGGCTGCCGGCCAGATGCTGGTACCTCTCTCCCTCCACCAGGCCTTCCTTAAGCCATCTCCCACTCCTTGCTTCTGACCCATCCCAGACGGACATCCCCAAAGCCAGATCGGAGCCCCAGGCCCTCCAGAGCCTCAGCCTGGCACCCTATCCTCACCCCCTCACACTTTCCTGGGACTCCGCGCTCAGCACCCTCTTTCCTGGTCCAATGTCTTGGGGCAGTGCCTTCTGGAGTGTGGATGGTGTGGCCCCTCCCGGGGCTTCCTGAGCACTGTGGCCCCTGGGCCTCAGATGGGGCTCAGCCTCCTCTCTAGGGAGTGACACACAGTTCCCGGTTCTCGCAGATACCCACTGTCACGGAACCCCCGCCTTGAACTCCCAGGCCCACCCCCCTGCTCTGGCTTGGAGGGCCCGAACTCAGGCTGCCTGACCAGTCCCTCTCCCTTGTGGCTCCCTGCTGGGTTTGGCAAACGCTGAGGGACCGGCAGGAGGGAGGAGGGCGGGAGGATCTCAGCTGCCACCTCCTCCTAAGCCCACAGCTCCTGAGGAGCAGCCTTCTCCTGGGGTCCGCAAGCCCTCACTCCCCTCACTCCTCCAGCCCGGGGCTGGGAGGGCTGCCCGATGGTGCTGGCCCCAGGGGTCCCCCAGGCCTGCCTGGTTCCCACAACACGGCCCACGGCTCCCTCACAGTTCACAGGAACACCTCTCGACCACCCGGGGGGCCCCAAGGGCAGGCCCCAGTCCCCCGTGCACTGACGAGTGGCCGTTTAGAGACAACCCCGTACCACAGGCTACACTCTCCGAGACCCAGAGCACTGACTCAAGCGGGGGACCTGCCGTCCACGTAGCAAGTCCAAGGACGGGCCAGCTAACACCTTCCCACCACACCGGCTGGGCCAAGGAGCCCGGCAGGAGGCCCTCAGAGTTCTTGCAAGCCTGGCTCTTCCAGAAACTCTGACAGCAGGGGGGGTCTGCAGAGGGCACTCGACCTGGCAGGCAGGTGGCAGGGCTGCAGCCGGCACGCTGATCTCCGGCCCCTCTCCAGCCAGGCTTCCAGACCCCAACATGGGCGGGGCCCGGGCGGGGGCTGGGCACCTCCTCTGTCACCCCCAAGGCCACAGTGCATGGGATGACAGGCCAGGAGAGCCACCCCAGCAATGTGGCCAGCAGCCAGGTGACGGACCCCGCATCCAGGCAGGCCCATGTCCCTGAGGCCCTGAGGATGGGGCGGTCCCCAGGGTCTGTGCTCTGGGCAGAATCCTAAGCTGTCAGAGCCAGGACACGGCTGAGAGGCGCCTCGCCTTACCAGCTGGGGAAACGGGCCCAGAGCAGCAGAGGGGCACGGCTGAGCTCACAGGACAGTGGGCGGCTCAGACAGCCGTGTGGCCCCGCTTCCTCAGGCCTGGAGGGGGGAACCACAGCGCTGGCCCCAGGCCGGACCCGTGACACACTCACGCCTCTATGCCTCCCGCCCCCACACTCTTCACGCGGAGCCAGGGGGATCTGCTCCCACGGCACAGACGGGACTGACCGGGTGGCCCTGAGTGTGGGGGCAGCGCCCAGAGCAGCGGTGGGTGGGGGTCCCCAGCACCTGCCTCCTCCGTGGGGGCGGCGCGAATTAATTAGCCAATGCTCCGTGAAGCACTTTGAAGCCGTGGAGGGCCGGCAGCTCTGAGCAGCATCATTATAAATATTATGGTTTTATTTATAGACGGCGGAGTGGGCAGGAGGGAGCCCGGGGATTTATGTTTTGCCAGCTCAATCACCTTTTAGATGTAGTCATGTTTGACTTACGTTCTGCTGGCGCCGGGAAGCCTCAGGCAAGAGGCGTCTGCGAACACAGGGCCTCATTATCCCCCCAGGCCTGAGCGCTGTGGGACCCCGGGAAGACTGGAGAGGCACAGGCTGGGGGGGGTCTACACCCAACGAGACCAGGGCCCCTGGCATCAGGGGAGATGCTGCTCCTCTCGGCCAGAGCAGGCCACCCCCGACCTGCCGTGCCCGCTGTCACCCCTCTAGGCTGCTGGGCAGGCAGGAAGCCAGGAGATGGGAAGGGGGCATCTCCAGGAGGAAGCGCCCCAGCCTGCTGCTTCCTCTGCTTTGGGCACTGCCAGCCGGCTGGGCCCTTCCTCTGTCCTTTGTGCAGCTCCCGGGGAAGGCAGGGCTGACGGTCACCAAAAGACCCTGGCCCAGCTCCCCTTCTTCAGACCCAGAGAAGGGATGCCCTGCAGACCGGGCTCTCTAGCTCAGAGAACAGATCCCTCCTGCCCTCAGGGCACTCAATCCAGGACAAGGAGTCGGTACGTGAGAGTGACCACACGCCCACTCACACACACACGCTCTCCACTCTCCCACCCCACACCACCAGGCACAGGGCGGCCACTGCCCCGTTCGTCCCAACGAGCCCGCGGGGAGCCGGCTGCCTCCCCCACTGTCACATGCGGAAGCAGAGGCTCAGAGAGGCAGTCACTTGCTCGATGTTGACAGGGCAGCGCCGGAACCCAGCTGGGCTCTTTCTCCACAGTAGAAATGTGTGGGGCGATCGTGCACGCACACGCACACACACGCGGTCAGGCGACAGAGCTCAGAAAGCAAAGCCAGGCAGGAAGGAAGCAGGGAGAGGCCTTCCTGGAGGAGAAAGAAGGAAGCAGAGAGGCGGGCAGCCGGGCGACCCTCAGCCTGGGTCAGCGTCACCCCACGTGAGGGTCAGGTCCCCCCATCAGACAGGGGCACCAGCAGCCTCCCCCCAAGCCCTGCCACCCTGCGCTGCACCAGACAGGCCCGGGCTCAGCCTGGCGGACGGCTGGCATTTCCCACATGGGCCTCGGCCCCCACCTCCCCGGGGAATGCTGCAGAGCGAGTCCCGGGTAGTGCTTGTGTGCACAGGCCCCTGCATTGCCCAACAGAGATGCTATCTGCCCACAGCATCCCTCATTAGCCGGCACCGAGGAGGGGTCCCCATCAGCTCTGAGCCAGAGCGAGCCCCGCCCCCAAGCTCTCCCTGCGGTCAGCCGGTCCAGGTGCCAACCCCGAGCTGCTCCCTCCCGCACTGCACCGGGTGACGCCGTCTGGGTGCGAGCCTGCTTCCTCGCGTGTACCAGGGGTGTGACCACAAGCCTCCCTGAGGGGCCATGCAGCCCAGGCCAGCCCACGGAAGCCAACACCTCACATCCTACATGCTCTAGGCCAAGACCGCTGGGCACGCCCAGCCCCAGCCCCCGGGCTGCCATGCTGTCTTGTTGCTGCCAGGGGCCCCACCTCGGCTCCAAGACAACAGAAGGAAAGGAGCGGTTTCAGGACCGGCTCCGGGGGCCACGGCGGCTAGTTCCCAGCACCCTGCCACAGGCCTCCAGGCCTGGGAGACCCGTGGAGCTCCCTGCGGGGCCGGCACCAAAGTCCCACCGGGGCCGCTGGTCGCTCCGGCCAAGACAGGCTGTGCGCTGGGCCCCGCGCACCGGGAAACACGCCGCAGAGCCACACGCCAGGCAAGCACGGGTAAGAGGCCCGGCTTTATGCTGTCGTCTTTGAGGCACGAGAGAGCTGCACGTTCGTGACTTATAAATCCCGGACGAGGCAAAGGGGGGGTGGGTCCTGACGGGATCAGGTATTTATCTAACGGCCCATAAATCAGGCCTCGAGGGCCGTGTGCTGCCTTGGGAATGTGCCCAAAGCACCTGAGTTATCCATCTGACAAGAGAGCAAGGCCAGAGAAACACACAGGCTGGCGTGATTCTGGACCAAGCTGACGAGGGCAGCCCGGGCCTCCGGCCCCCAAGTGCCCACCTCTGCAGCCCATCTGTCTGTCTGGGAATGTAGGGCAGCAATCCCACAGCACGGGCGAGGGAACCAGAGGGAGTGCGGCAATGGGGCGGGGTGCCCAGTGAGGCCCCACACACGGCAGGTGCTTCCAACAGCCGCTCCCGACAAGACCCTGTCACTGTGGGCGCTGGGGCAGGGGCCGGACCAGGCCTCCCAGCCCTGGGCCTCTGTGGCTCCACTGGGACAGAACAGGACCATCACCCACTCTCTCCCAGGCCTGGCAGGGAGGGGGTCAGGCAGCTAGAGTCTGATGATGCCTAAGCTCCAAGCGGCCAGGCCGAGGGGGCCTGAGGAAGAGATCGGCATTTACTGGACCGTCCAGGGACCCACGGGGGGGGGGGGGGTCACTGTCTGAGGCTGGGAACAGCATCCAGGCCCCGCAGTGTGCTGTATCTGCTGATGTTCTCGGGCTTTGCGCACACCATGCCCTCCGGCTGGGCTCATACTCTCCCTGATATCCTTCCATTCTTAAGGCATCAGGCCGGACATCTGCCCGCAGCTGGGTTCCCCAATTGACACTGACTGCACCTGGGGGCCCTGCCTGGTAATGTGACAATCACTTTCAGTGGACACATGCCCACAGCTCACTGCCGCATGCCCAACACCCAGCATGGCGCCTGGCACCAGGAGCGCTGAGCTTGGCAAGCGAGTGGTCTCAGGCACTAACCCAAGCTCGCCCTGTGCTAGGGTGTCCTCGAGGGAGCCTGAGCCTCCCCCAGCATGCTGGCACCCGGCCTTCTGCCCAGGCCCCATGCCTGGGCACACACCAGTCCGCTGCCCACCACGCGCTCACCCTGCCTGAGTTCCCATCCCAGCAACAACACTGCACAGACCACCCTCAGCAAGCCCTCCCTGATTATGGGGGCATCCAGAGGAACCAGGACCAGGTTCACCCCTCCTCTGGCTGGGCACGTGCTTACTCTGCCCCGTGATGGCCTAAAGGAATGGGAACAGACACCGGGAGCCAGAGGCCTAAGTCCCACCTGGCATGTGATCTCAGACAAGCCCTGGACGCTCTGGGCTTCAGTTTCTCGGCCTGTACAAGGACAAGTGGGTGGACCAAGCACTACAGGAAACAGGCCCCCTGATCAGAAAGACCTGGGGGCTCACACTCCGCATAGCCCGGGCCAGCCCCTGCAGCTCAGCGCCGGAGCCCCTGAGGCTCCCCTTGCCAGGAGTGGTGCCAACTGCAGGACGTCCCATGTCCTGCTTGCCCTTGTAGCCTCGAGCAAGAAATCCTGCAGGACTGTGTGGCCCAGCTGGGGTCTCAGTTTCTCCACAAGAATAACCGGGGCTAAAACAGGAAATGAGATGAGAACTGCAGGCACCGCAGGTGACAGTCCTTGGTGGACTGGAGGCACCAGCCCGGGGACCCCGTCAGGAGCAGTGGTGGACAGATGGGGACAGACACACAGCCCCTGATCCCAGACAGCACCTCCCCAGGCCCACGGGGCCCCAGGCACGAAACCCAGCGAGATGAGCAGGGGCAGACTGTAACCCAGCGAATCCACCCAGGATGCAGGAGTCACCAAGCCGATAGATGGGGAAACTGAGGCCCACAGACAGCGAGGGGCTGGGCGGAGATCACACGGCCAAGTTGGGGCCAAGGGCTCAGACCCAGGTCTGGCTGAATCACCTGACAAGTTCAACGACCTCAGGGGAGTGTCCCTCCACGGTGTCCCTAACAAACGCTGTCGGTAAAACGGGCACCCAATCCAAGCCCGAGTCCGGCTACGCTGAGGACCTGGGTGCTGCTCGGCACCTCCTCCAGGTGGGCAGGAGGAGGCAAGGCTCAGGGTGACCCCGGGGCCACCCGCATGGCCTTGGGAGCTCCCTGCTCCACTCCGCGCCCTCTCCAGTGCTGCCCTGCCCTGGCCTCCTCGACCAGCCCCCCTCCAGACAGCCGGAACACGGCCCCTGGGCGCCTCCTGCCCGTCCCTCACCTCCAGCCTCTGCCCTCACTGTGCTTCCGCCCTCGCCCGGGCCCCGGGGGCCATGCTCTGGGCCGCCAGGACCTTGAGGCGGGGGCTGTGAGCAATGCGGGCCCGCCCTTTCCAAAGGGCTGGGAGGACGCTCGCAGGCCCCTCTGTGATCCCGGGGCCTGGCAGCAGGGGCTCTGCAGGGAGCGGGCGCCGGGGCAGGCGGGACACGGGGGGCCGGCCCCCGCGCCCCGCGCCCCCCGCGGGCACCCACCTTCCCGCTTCATGCCCATGGCCAGGCACTTCTGGCAGGCCCCTCTGTGATCCCGGGGCCTGGCAGCAGGGGCTCTGCAGGGAGCGGGCGCCGGGGCAGGCGGGACACGGGGGGCCGGCCCCCGCGCCCCGCGCCCCCCGCGGGCACCCACCTTCCCGCTTCATGCCCATGGCCAGGCACTTCTGGCAGGCCCCTCTGTGATCCCGGGGCCTGGCAGCAGGGGCTCTGCAGGGAGCGGGCGCCGGGGCAGGCGGGACACGGGGGGCCGGCCCCCGCGCCCCGCGCCCCCCGCGGGCACCCACCTTCCCGCTTCATGCCCATGGCCAGGCACTTCTGGCAGGCCCCTCTGTGATCCCGGGGCCTGGCAGCAGGGGCTCTGCAGGGAGCGGGCGCCGGGGCAGGCGGGACACGGGGGGCCGGCCCCCGCGCCCCGCGCCCCCCGCGGGCACCCACCTTCCCGCTTCATGCCCATGGCCAGGCACTTCTGGCAGGCCCCTCTGTGATCCCGGGGCCTGGCAGCAGGGGCTCTGCAGGGAGCGGGCGCCGGGGCAGGCGGGACACGGGGGGCCGGCCCCCGCGCCCCGCGCCCCCCGCGGGCACCCACCTTCCCGCTTCATGCCCATGGCCAGGCACTTCTGGCAGGCCCCTCTGTGATCCCGGGGCCTGGCAGCAGGGGCTCTGCAGGGAGCGGGCGCCGGGGCAGGCGGGACACGGGGGGCCGGCCCCCGCGCCCCGCGCCCCCCGCGGGCACCCACCTTCCCGCTTCATGCCCATGGCCAGGCACTTCTGGTAGCGGCAGTACTGGCAGCGATTGCGCTGGCGTTTGTCGATCAGGCAGTCCTTGTTGTCCCGGCAGGTGTAGGTCAGGTCCTTGCGCACCGTGCGCTTGAAGAAGCCCTTGCAGCCCTCGCAGCTGTACACCCCGTAGTGCTTGCCTGCGGGGAGGGGGCCGGTGGGCGCGCCGCCCCGCCCCCGCCCCGCCCCCGCCCCCCGCCCCGCCCCCCGCCCCGCCCCCCCGCAGCCCTGCTCCCTGCCTGCGGGGTTCCCTGCCTGCGGGGTTCCCTGCCTGCGGGGTTCCCTGCCTGCGGGGTTCCCTGCCTGCGGGGTTCCCTGCCTGCGGGGCCCCGGGCCCGGCGGCCTACCTGACGAGCGGTCCCCGCAGATGGCACAGATGTGCTTGGTGAAGGACGCCATGTTCCCGGAGGGGTGGGCCGGGACTTTGAGGACACCATTGAGGCCCAGCGGGGGCTTGATGTCCTCGCTGCTGCTGACGGGGTTCATGGGTGAGCTGAGCTGAGGAGGGAACGCCGGGGGTGTCCAGGGGGCACGCGCCACCGTCCCCCCCGCGCCGGCCCCATGGTGAGGAAGGTGCCGACGTACCCCCACCGTCCAGAGCGGGAAACCGAGGCCCACGGAGGGGCCCTGCCCGCCACAGGCCACACAGCTCAGGAGGGGCAGGGCCCAGCTGCTGGAGGCTGCTCTGCCTCCCATGGCCGAGCCCCGGCCTCAGGGGAGTCAGGGGAGGCCCCCCAGGCCCTGCTCGCACCCCCTGCCCTCGCTGGGCTAAGTAAGAACGGCCGCCCATGACTGAGCATGCCCCGGACAGGACCGCGTGAGCCGGCGCCCCCCCGGGAGGCAGGCACTTTGGGGATCCCCACGCCACAGACGGGCACGGAGGCCCGGCCGCAGCAAGGAAAGGGAGTGGGGGCCACGCCGCCCCCCGCCGGGGCCTCGGGGGCGGGGCGGGGCCCTCGGGTCACGTGGGCCCGGCGCGCAGGGCATGGCCCGCAGCCCCTCCGCTCGCCGCGCCGCCCCGCCCCGCCCGCAGCCCGGCCGCTGCCCGGGAGCAGGCGTGGGAAACTCACCAGTCGCCCTGGCAACAGCTGCGCGCCGCGGTGACACAGCAGTTTTGGTTCTGCTGCGTCCAGCCCCGCGCTCCTGTCAGCGCCGGGGCCCAGAGGTGCTTCCCGCGGCAACCCGCAGGCCGCCCCGAGTGCACGGGCGCCGGGACCCGGCCGCGCGGCCCCCCGCACCCCCACTTCTGCAAACCCCTGAGAGAGGCGGAAACCGGGTGGTGCGGACGTCCCCGGGGAAGGCCGGCAGGCGCCACGCTGCCCCCTGGTAGCCCCGGGCCCCTCCTGCCAGCGGGAACCTCGCCTCCTTCCTTCCCCACGGCCCCCACCCCCCGCCGGTTTTCTCACGGGGCAGGAAGAACTCGGTGCTCAAAGCACACGAAGCAGAAACCACCCAAAGCCTCCTCGCAGGCTGGCCTCTGGGCGCCCCGGCCCGTCCTCGGTCCCTCCTCCACCCAGGTGGGCCGTGTGGCTGTGAGGACACTTCACCCCCGTGCGCCCGCTGCACCCCGTCCCCGAGGCACCAGCAGCACCCCCGGGGGGACACAGGGAACGGAGAAGGGGCACGGGCGGCTAAGTGCTCCCGCGCCCGGGCTTGGCTCCGTGTGCGCGCCCCTCCCCGTTTCCCAGGTACAGATGCGGAGGCTCAGGAGGGTCAGGGGACTGGCGGAGCAGCATGTTAAGCTCGGGGCTCTGAGTAGCAGGCGGTGAGCTCCGAGGGGCTCCATGCACGCTGCAGAAGGGGAAATCGAGGCCCCAAGAGGCCAGCTTGCCCAGAGCCACTCGGTGACCCCATCCATCAGACACGGTTCACTGGGTGCCCAGCCGGGTGCTCAGAGACAGTGCTGCAGAGCTTGTGGGCCGGGTGGGGACGACAGCAGGGCAGTGGCAGGGCCTCCGGATCACACCTCGTCCATTCACTGTGTGACTTCGGGGAAATTACTCAGTCACTCTGCGCTGGAGGTCCCCGGGGCCGTGTGCAGGACCGAGGGCTGCCATCAGGACAATGGGGCGGAGGCGCTGCGCCAGGGCTAGGCCTCCAGGAGGAGGCGCCCCCAGTTGGTCCCAGGCAGAGGGGCCGCCGAGCCGCCCTGTGCACGTGGGGAAGCCGAAGGACTGTTGGAAAAGGGCACCAGAGGGGTGCAGCTGGGGGCGGGGGCGGGTCCCCACAGGCTCAACTGCGGGGAGCCACCCAAGACACGGGAGCAGGAGGCCTGTCCCCATACTGTGGGAGTCTGGCCACGACTCCACGTGGCTGGATCCACTTGGAAGCACCAGGGAGAGGAACCTGGGTATTTCCTCTTTCATGCTTGCCCACATCATGCTGGGCAGCTAGCGGGCCACCTGCCCTCCCGCCTCCCGTATGTGTGCAGGCCCTTGGGACTGCTGCCTGCTCTAGGTAAACTGAGGCAGGGCCACAGCAGTGAGGAGGGCTGGCCGGGGCCCCACAGGGGAAGGAGCCACAGGCAGGATGGACGGTCAGTGCTGCTCTCCCGGGCCCAGGCTTCCCATGAGCAGAGTAGTCACGCTGGGGAGCCCTAGGACACCCTGCACGTGCGGGGAGACAAAGACTGGGCTGGGAACCCCACTCACTGCAGGCCTGGGGCCACCCACCAGGGCAAGGCTGCTAGGGTCAGGGGTCGCTCTTCCCCCTCCCCAGTTCTGAGCTGATGGGCCTTGGGCTGGGTCCACAGCTCCCAGAACAGAGCATGGAGCGACTCCTGGGGCCTCGTTCTGCCTTGCACATACCCTTCCCCAGCAGGCTCTGCAGCCCCCCACCTGTGGGGGACTGCTCTCCTCCTGTACCCCACCCCACTCCACTCTGGGGAGACCCCCAGCACCAGCAGCCCCTCGCTGGAGCCTGACGGCCACGCGGTGGGGCCAGGGTGGAGGCCTGGTCCCGTTTCCCCTTTCATATCCTTGGCATTCATCTCAGTTCCCGCTGGAGCCTACGGCACTTACTAAAATAGCCACCTGCCTCTTCGATGCCCCGCCAGGGCCTCCTGCCGCCTCACGAGGCCCCTCTCTTCCGCACCCACCACGCCCTTCCTCCTGAGCCCACAGCAGGCCCCCTCCATCACCCACGGCCAGAACTGGCGTTGAAGACTCAGGCTGGCCACACGCAAGAGCAGGTCCTCAGCCTCGCCAGCCTCACACTGCCATCGAGGCAGGGGCAAACCCTGTGACGTGCACTCGCTTCACCTGGATGCCCTGTCCCCGAGGCCTCATAGCCGCAGGACCCCCAAAAAAGAGTAGGCAGCGCCGGCCACCCCACTGGCCTGAGCGCATCCCGCACCAGGGAAGCTTTGCTGGGCTGGGGAGGCCTGGATGCTGTGCTACTCACGGCAGGCCAGGTGTGGCGAGCAGGCTCTGGGACAAGCTGGGGATGCCCCTGGGCCCAGTGCAGACGGAGCCCCCAGATCAGGAAAAGACATGGGGCCGTTTGCGCACTTGGCCCAGCCCAGACCCCCAGGCAACCACTTCTGGGCAGGGTCAAGTGGGGTGGACTCAGGTGTTGACAGCGCTCCCTGGCTGTGTGGGGGGTTCGAGCAGGCAGCGCTCGGCAGAGCACCAGGCCTTCCCCAACAACAGTAGAAGTCGGAGAACCTCACTTGTTCCGGCAACCATGACTTCGCGGTTGTGGTTTTGGGGCAGGGGGTGGGGCATGCCCCCCTTTGAACTCCACCCACACTCCCGTGAATATGGGGAACCCCAGGTTTCCAAGACAAGCTGCTGAAGCTCAGAAGCTGCACTCACTCCAGGAAGGAGCTATGGGGGCGTAGGGGTGGTGGCAGCATTCAGGGGAGACTGAGGCCTACCCGGGAAGGGCAGCCAGAGGAGAGGCCGAGCACGGGGCAGAGGGGCGGAAGGAGGTGGGCTCAAACTGTGGCAAAACTCACTGTGGCCCAACTGACTGATGGACACATAGACGGGCGGCCGACCACAGGACAGTAATGACCATCTGGGACACACCGGGTTTGCTCCCCGCCAGGCCCAACTTTTGCCCTGACCTCCTCACCAGCTTCAAGGGGCCTGGGGCCCCTTTTCACACACAACCTGGGTTCAACCAGCACCCACTAAGTGCCAGGAACCAGGCTGTGTGCAGAAAATGACAGAAAACAGGACAGACATGGTCCCGAAAACCCCTCACTCCCCAGTACCGCCCCGCCCCTGCCCCCAGATGGGTGACCGGTACCAAGGGGCAGGCGCCCCCGAGGTTTAAGGAGTGTCACTGCCACGCCCAGGCTCCTGCTATGCACGAGCCCTCAGGGTGTCAGGGACAGGTGGCAGGCCCAAGACCAGTACGGAGCCTAGTGGGCCTGAGGGTCGACAGGTGCCTGCCTCTGTCACAGTCCCCAGGAGGCAGGTGCGGGCTCAGTCTTCAGGTGCCCTCTCGCGCCCTGCATGGCACAGTGCTGCCAGCAAGAATGGGGGTGGGGTGGCTATGCTAAAAATAACCTGGCCAGGCCCAGGAAGGCAGCCGAGTCTACCCCATGCCAGCACCTCAGGCCCCCTGCCTCCTCTGGGGCCCAGATGACATGACGGGGACACGGGAGCTCTGCACTGATGCCCGAGGCCCCAGCCACCAAAGGCTGACAAGGTCACTCTGGAAAAGCCAGCAAGATCCTCCACCAAGGCCAGCTCTAAGGGCCCAGCCAGACGGCCAGCGGGCTGGCTCCAGCTCAGTGGTACCCCAGTCCTCCTGCGCCAGGAGCAGGGAGGGCTGCCCCACAGGTGGCGTGGCAGCAGGGGGCTTGGGAGCCCATGGGACGTGGCTGACACAATTAGATGTGTGGCTCTGGGCAGGGACGCCTGCACTTCAAGTCTCTCCCCAGCAGGCTATCCTGAGGCTCTGCGGAGATGGTGCCCCAAAGGTCTCCATCCGGGGGGCCTCATCCACCGGGGAAAGAATGGCTGAACCCAGACTTGGACTCGGACCAGTAACGGAGCCCTGCCAATTTCAGGAAGGACAACCCCAGAGAGAGGAAAGGCCTGCTAGGATTCAGGCAGGTCTCCTGGCCACCCAGCAAGAAATCCACCGGGAACCACACGGAGCTGGGAGAGGGGAGACCCAGCTGGGCCCTGGGGCCCCTTCACAACGTAGGGATCTCTGGAAGAGCCCAGGACAACTCTGCAGGGGTGTGGACAAGAGGCGCCCAGGAGAAGGTGGACTGAGCCTCCAGGATCCCCACCGCAAGAACTGGACCAAGCCAGGCCCTGCCAGGCACCAGTTGCTTCCCGATTCAGAGACAACCCCGAAAGCCAGACTCTTCCAAACACAGGACTGTGGAAGAGACCACCCGGCCTGAGGAGGGTGCATCTGCACAGAGCCTGGACACATTCCCCCTGGGATCTGAAACCACCTGGCATGGGCTGAGCAGAGGCCAGGAGGGAAGGGCCAAGAAGGGGCAGGGGCTCCAGGGAGGTGGGTTTAAACCTGAGAAACACAGAGCCCCCCCCTTACACAGCCAGGCCACAGGAGCGGAGAGCCCCCAGACAGGAGGGGCCCCAGTGGGGTAGATGACCAGCTGCAGGGAACTTGGCTGATAACCCCTGAGAGTCCAGGGCTGGGGAGTCAACCAGAGTTGGCCTCAAACTCAGGCTTAAGCCGCCTCTCTGAGGCTCTGGTTCCCAGAGATAAAGGTTGGAAATGACGGCACCTGCCCCCCAGGGTCCACAGGAGGGGCCCCACCTCTGCACTTACCTGGGGGCTGCTGGTGCCAAAGCCCAGGGTCGGCGTGGTGGGCACTGACATGGAGTGGGGGCCCATGGGGGAGCTGATGACCGAGAAGGGTGGGCCCATGCCATTGATGGGGGAGCTCAGGGTGCTGATGGGCGAGTGCAGCTGTCCAGGAGAGCCGAGCGAGGAGCCGATGCCAGGCCCCAGAGAGGGGTGCAGCGAGGGGGCAGCCATGGCGCCACGCCCCGTGGGGGAGTTGAGGGACGAGGAGTTCACCTGGGTGGAGAAGTCTGCAAGACAAGAACCCAGAGGAGGGCAGTCAGGAACCCACACTGCCCGGCCTGCTCCCCCAGGGCACGGAGACCACAGCGAGGCCAGGCCCCGGCGCCCCCACGGTGATCCTAATGGCTCATGCCACAAAGTCCCACCAACATGAGGCCAGAGCGCAGGGAGTGCCCCCTCCCAGATGGCACCCCCGACACCCACCGGCCCAGCAGTGGGGCTCAGGCTGGGCCGGAGGAGGCAGGTGCAGGACCAGCAGGCTGACAGCAGGCTCTCCGATGCCCGTCCAGGCAGGGAGGCCAGACAGCCGCCTGTCCACCTGGAATGCCTGCTCACCACGAGCTGCCAGTCCCTCTGCCCGTGTGCTCAAGGGGCGGGGGTAAAGGCGTGGGAGTAACAGTAAAAACCACGCGGTTGATGTTTTCCGAGTGCCCACCATGTCCTCGGGGTAGACTCGGGCACAGAGCTGAGAGCTACGTGTCCAGTACTCTTCCTGCCCCGGGGAACCGAGGCCCTGTGTTCCTACAGCTGCCCGGGGCACAGCACGTCTGCCACCAGGAGGCTGACCCTCTCTCTGAGTTCTGTGGCCTCAACCCAACAGACCACCCTGCCCAAGACTGCTCAGGCGCCCGGTGGCCACAGCCCTCCAACCTGTGAGACCCCAGAGAGATGCCCGCTTCCGAGTGGGCCTCGTGGACAGGGCCGGGGTGCGTGCCAGCCCATAGAGGCTGTGGGGAGAGGCCGGGACCTCCCACACACAGGCTTTCATCTCAGGGATTTCAAAGCCCCAACAAGAGCTAATGAGGCCTCCCCACCCCACCCTGAGGGCTCAGCAGGAAGAAGCCTCCCGAGGAGGAAGGCTCTCAGGTGGTGGTGAATCCACTGCCCTCGGCGGGTGGAACACACCAGCGGGAACTAGAGGGGCCCAGAGGCCGCAGAGCGCCACCCCCACTGGGTGGAATGCCCCGGGCCCCTCCTTGGGCCTCAGCCTTCCCATCTGCAAACTGCTCTCTCCCACAGGGGACTGGCCTCCGACCGCAGACACCCCAGATCAGGGGGCCCACCCCAGCTGCACCCCTCGAGGCCCCGGGACCACTTGCCTCCCTGAACCTTGGAACGGCTGTGTTCAGAAGGCCCCCGTGAGTCTCGGGGAACAGACACCATCACGCGGGGGACACCACTCAAGCGGCCCAGTCAGGACTCAGCACACGTGACTCTGGCGAAAACCCTGATCCAGGGATTTAGGAACATGTCCCTGGAGATGCTGGGGGTGGCCAGCCCGGAGGGTGGGGTGGTCCTGGCGAGAACACAGGAGGCTCTGCCACCCTGCCAGATGCCCTCCCCTGGGAGCTTTTACCCACTTCGCTCTCGCAGCCCCCGGCCCACTGGGCACTTCCTCCTTCTCCCCACTCTGTGGGACCAGGGGCGCAGGAAGTCAGCCCAGAAGCCCACAGTCCAGCCAGGGGTGGCTGAGCCTGCCTGCACCCTAACTCCACTGGCAAGCAGCCTCATCCGATTCATCTGAAACTAGCCATTCACAAAATTGGGGATCAACCATTTCACTGAACTTGGAAATGAACCCTAGAGGAATTCCAGCAACACTGGAGGGTAGCAGCGCCTGTTGGCAAGGGTAAGTACTGCAGATCCGCCCTGTTAGTCATGAAGTGCCCTGAACACCATGTGCCCAGAGGTCCGTAGCCCCTTAACTTCCCCAGGAAGCCTGGGGGGAGCAGCAGGGCTGACAAGAGAGGACAGGCAGGGGGAGGTGTCCGAGCACAGCAGACCCAGGCCCGGCTGCAGGCCCTTGGTCCACGGAATTCCTATGGACCTGTCCACTCATCGGAGACAGACAGGGAGACTGAGGCACAGAGCGCCGGTGTGAGACTCGCCCAAAGGCATGAGCGCAGAAATCCGCAGCTGCCCTGCACCAGGCAAGCAGGGACCCATCGTGGCCTGACTCTCCGGCCCACAGCCAGCCCTGGACGAGGGCCTGGCGCCGGCTTCACCCCTGCCCAAGCCTGGGCTTTCGGATGCGCAGGAGCCAGCCACAGCCTGGACCAGGGCTGCCCCCTCCACGCGGTCAGAGAAGCGCCTCTCCAACTTCGGGGTGGAAGCGAAGGGGCAGCAAGATGGACTGTGCGAGAAAGCTTCAGCGGACCCTCTGCAGGAGAGCACAGAGACGGGCGGGGGGGGGGAGGGGGGCTGGCGACAGTCAGGGGCATCCGGGGCTCCCAGGCTGGGGAGGGTGTCCCTGCACCCCCACGCACCTTTCTTCCCAGAAATGGGAAGGAGACCAGGAAGCCAGGGCCAAGCCAAGAAGGCGCTCCTAGACTCCAGCCCTGCCCAGGTAGTCCTGGGGGCCCAGGGGGCCCTGAATCAGAGCAGGGCACTGCAGGCTTCTCAGGGGCTGCTCGCCTCAAGGGGCAGGTGCAGTCGGCAGCCACAGCTGCTGGGAGGGGCCCCCCGGCTGCCGCCACGGCTCACATCTGCAGGGGCCGGTGCCCACTGCGCTCCGCTCCACTCCACTCCACGGGGGCCCTGGGCCGCCGCTTGCTTGTGTGTTTGCTGCTCCCCCCAGGAAGGGGAGGGAGAGGCAGGAGAAAGCTTGGCCGGAAGGAAGGAGGGAGGGAGGGAGGGAGGGAGGGAGGAGGTCTGTTTGACTGCCAGCTGCCAGGCTGCACCCCAAAGCTCCCAGCCCCCCAAGGCACTGCCTGCACCCAGCCCGAGTGTGAGAACCAGGAGGAAGGGGCGACAACAGGGACGGAGCACCCACCCCCACCTGGCCGAGGAGCGCGCGTTCAAGTGTCCAGCGACTACTCCAAACTGGTGTGAGCCCCTGGGGCTGCTGAATCCGGAGGGGGGGGCCACACATCCCCCCCCAGTGCGTGCCTCCTTGGGACCCCTGCTGTCCCCAGGCCCCCGCTCTGGGTGCTTCCTGTTTACCCAGAACATCTACAGCAGACACTTTCCCGGAGCCTGGGTGACAATGGGCTGGGTGTGTTTTCTGGAGTCTTCTGGAGAGAGACACTCTGGCCAGGAAGGGAACATTAGAAAGAAAAGGCAAAAAAAAGCCCAACATCCTCCGCCTGCAGAGGCCCTGCCCCCCCCCCACGTGCATGCTTGCTGTTGCCAAGCCATTTATCTGCCCCCACCCACTGATAAGCAGAGGCAGTGATCAGGCCTTATTCTTTTTAAAGTCATACTTTGGACTTGCTGGGGCCTTGTCACGGGCTGGTCACCACACACTTATCTGATCCTTGCTGGGGGGGGGGGGGGGGGGCGGGCGCTGGCCGGGCGGGGCTGCAGGACGGCAGGCTCCCCGCCCAAGGGGTGCAGAGGGGCTTGCGAGGGAGGGGACAAAGCCCGAATGGGGAACCTCACACCCTCAGCACTCCAGCACCCCACGTCCCTTACGTAGTGCATGCACACATGAACGCACACACGCGCACACGCATGCACATGCATGCAAACACACGCACACACACATGCGTGAACACGTACATGGACGCACACGCACACACCCCTTTGGGACTCCGAGCCATCAGTGAGACCTGGGAAGGAGGCCGTGGCCCAGGAGCTCACAGGGACCTCGAAGCAGAGACAGGCCCCTGTCCAGAGGGGAGGCCCAGCAGCCCCAGCACGGGCAAAGAGACCTGGAAGAACTGCCAGATTCAGTCCAGGAAGACTACATGGAAGAAGTGGTGGACAGATCTCTCTTTGGCACAAAAAGCACTTCAGGCCACAAAACTGCCTCTAAAATGCCAATACCTGGAGGCCAGCATCAGCCACGGAGCAGAGATGGGTTGCCCTGGGATCTCAGCCCAGCACCTCCCTGAGCCCCAGAGCCTGAGGGTGAAGAGCTACATTTGGTGAAGTTTAAAGTAAAGAATGCACTCCTAATGCAGGGGCTGCTTCTTGGGGTGGTAAGCTCCCTGTCGCCACTGCATACAAGCAGAAACTACATCCACCACTCAGGAATGGCTGAGCAGGTGGCCCCTGAGGTCCCTTTGAGAGAGGGACTCTCTCCACCGCTCTCCAAAATTCCTGAGCTACATGGGCTCCCTCTGGAATGGGGTTTTGGAGGGACCCCATAGCAGGAAGCTGGGAAACCCCCACCAACTCCTTTCCGGTCCCCACATGGCAGACAGGGGCAGGTGGCAGGAAATGCCAGCCCAACTGCGGTGGGGTGGGGGTGCACCCCCAGACTCCACCCCCTCCTGGGCAGCTCAGGGCTCCTCCAAGGCCCTACTTTGCAGGACCAACTGGGGCAGGGTCCAAGCAGGCCACAGGCTGGGGCCACACGTCCAGTGGGAAAGAAGAGGACACTGGGCCAGCCAAGCAGGAAGCTCAGAGGTGGGGAGGGAAGGGAGGTCCAAGTGAAGGAGCGTGGGGAGGGGTCCCATGGGCTGGCGTAGGCTAGAAGCTTCAAGGGGGGCCAGAAGGACTGCACAGGGGTAGGAGAGGAGGTGCCCAGGAGGAAGAGGAGCACAAAGGGTAAGGAAGAACCCCGTAAGAACAAGACTAGGTTCTGAGCACAAGCTCCCCACACCCCTGCAATTCTGTGCCCCTGCCTGGGGACCCCCCCCGGAACCGAAACCCCATGTCAAGGAGCTGGCAGGCCTCAGGAGCTTCCTGGGACACCCACTTTCAGCCCCCACCTTCCAGAAGGACTGCTTCCCCTGCCGCCGCCGCTGGGGGAGAAGTGGCCGCCTGGTAGAGACTGTGGTGGGGACCACGGCGCGTCTGGGTCTGGGGGAAGCTGAGGGTGGCTGGAACAGAAGGAGGGGGAGACAGGAAGCTTCCACTGGCCCCACAGGGTGAGAGGCCTTCAGGAGCTGGGGCTGGGCAGGCACAGGGGGAGGTGCCAGCCCTGTAAGAGCAGACTCCTGCCTGCCCCAGGGGCCAATGGGCCCAGAACCACCTGGCCTGTCTCCTCTTCTGTAAACTGAATGCACCCAAGGCAAGAGGCTACCGTGGTGGCCCCTGGGCCCTGTACCTGCTCTCCACC